TGAAAGCTGTGGGTTGGTCTAGTTAAGATTTTCGAGGCTAAATTAAAGCTAGATATCTGTAGCAGAGGTGGGTGCCCACTGGGTCCCCTACCAGTCTCTTGACTATCCCCCAGGTCTTGGCAGGGAGCCCTACCCCACTCTGCCCCCATTGTTCTTATGAGAACAGGCAATCCAGATGTTCCCAATATCTCTCCCAATATGCCAAACACATTTCTAGAAAAGATGGACTAATGTATGGAAGCCCTCCTGCTCAGTGTTGTATTAAGGGTAAAATATGAAAGCTTGTAATTTAACCTCCCATGATTTGACCTAGACCAGGATATATAGTCTATCTTGTAATATTTCCCCAAAGGCAGAGATCATTTGACAAGTCAGAAAATATTCCTAAAATTGTTTGGAATGTATATATAATTGTCACTGTCCTAAACAACTTTAAATGTGCTTCTTTAACTACTTAGAATGGTGGGGAGTAAGGACTTTGTTCCTTACACGAACTTCTCCATTTTTCTACTGCTAAAAGTCATCTTAAACACCTGACATGGACTTTAAAGTAACACCCCAAACTATGCTTCAGCTTATTTAGCATCATCTATTTTTTGTATTGAGGCATGTCTCTTATTCCTAAAGGAAAGATGGAGTAGAGGGAGAATTAATGCTGAAACCTTGTCTGATTTGATTAGAGATCATTTTCTAAATGTCATTATTTTTTTGGTTGGTTTGACTCTTGTTGTTTGTTTGTTTTCAGACTGGCTTCAATGAGAGTAGAAAGCAGAGTACAAAGTCACTTTGACTTTATGGTGTGCTAAAAGGCCAGTGTTTCCGGAGATGACCTAACTATTCATTGACCTCTTTTAACTAATCTTGTTTGTTTGGGCTAGATGAGAGCTCATATCCCACATCTGGTGTATCAATTATCTCAAATATTAAAATTAATTCTAGAATATAAATAACTTTTATAAATAGAAGTGTCAAATTGTTACATTGTAAACTTCAGATGCTTCAAGCCTTTAAAAAAATAGAAAAGGAGATATTAAAGAATTTTTAATAGATACCTACGTAGGCCCAGAGGCGCCTAGAGGCACAGTGGTTAACCGTTCAGCTCCTAACCTACCAGTTGTTTCCTGGGAGATAAAGATCAAAACCATAAACATCTGCTCTCATATAGATCTAACCAAACTCACTGCCACTGAGCCAGTTCTGACTCACAGTAACCCGACAGGGCAATCTAGAAATGCGCCTGTGTGTTTCTGAGACCGTAACTCTTCACACGAGTAGAAAGTCCCAGCCTTTTCTCATGGAGTGGCTGATGGTTTTGTAACTGTGTTCGCCATTTCACCACCAAGGATCCTCCCGCCTTAAAGGTCAGAGTTGTGCAAGTCGGAGGAAGCCGTTTCACCCTTTCTTCTATGGGGTCACAATGTGTTGGAATTGACTCTTAGGGCAGTGAGTTTGGTTTAGTAGAGGCCGAGGCTGTTCTACCAAATACCTCAATACTTTGGAAAAGTGGACTGAAAGCCGGTCTTTTGGTTTAGTTGGCAAAGCCTAAAGCGATGTATGTCTAGCTTCCGTGTACCTAAACACCCAACAAAACCAACACCCCAAGAATACACGCTGAAACCACGCTGTTCTTTTAGAAACAAGAACTCTGCATTTCTGCAATGTGATCAGGTTGAAATACCTTGGACAGTGGCTGCTGTATGACTTCTACTTAATACGTGTTCTTCAAACGGATTCTCTCATGTGTTGATATGTTCTCATCAGTGACATGAGCAGTTCTCACCAAAACCATTAGTTGAGAAATATTACTCAATTATAGGTGCATCAGTAGAGTGCAATATCTTTTAAGTTTCTTCATTGCACTATTTTTCAAAGGCAAATGGTAATGCGAGTGTAAGAAGGCAGGAAGAAGCATGTTGGGAGAATATTTCTCAACCCCCATCAAAACTAGCCACCTGTTTCATATCGCTTTGATATTAAATATTTACACAATTCCATATATTTTTCTTCTAAGTTAAATATCTCAAAAAGCGTTCACATTTTGGCCACTTGTTGGCTTTGTTTCTTCCATTGGGGAAAAAAGAGGCGATAAGCTCAAGTACCCTGCCTTTGCATACAAGCTCTAGGGTCACCTTTTTAGGAAAGATCTCAGAGCACGTATTTCTTGTCTTCTTAAAGGGTTTTAAGGAGTCTAAGCTTCCCGAAGTTAAAAGAGGGTCACTCCAACCCTAGGAAGTAGGAAAAACATCCTTGAGAAATATCTAGGCAAGGTCTTTTTAAGTGAATAAATGATTTCCAGGATAAAAGACTGTATATTCCTTCCTTTAATTTAGTATGTCTTCTTCAATGGGAGAAAGATGAGGTTTCTATTCCGATGAAAAGTTACAGTCTCAGAAATCCACAAGGGCAGTTCTACCCTGTCTTATAGGATTGTTAGGATGCGGCATGGGCTCGATGGCAGAATGTCTATTTGACTGGGTACATCTTTTTCTCAACAAGTTAGGAGGTTGGAGCTAACATCTGAGCATTAACTGTTAAAACTAACATGGTTTATTGGAGTTAGCTAACTTATCTTATGGTCTATTTAGTTATTGCTATGAAATTGCCCACCATTTGAATATCAAGAATGCCATATCTACAGATAAGCACATATTTCTTGTGGTTATGGAAGTTATGAATGATGCTTTTCCGTGTTTAGTACCCTCACACGTGGGGTATTTTACTTACTCCCACCTATTTGGCTATATTGATAAAACAAGAGCTAGTTAGTACATGGGCACCAAAATATGATAAATGTGAGCTAACTCAGGGCACAATGGACAGTTCTGCCCTAGTGTGTAACTTTATAATACAGGGGATAGTCTGTCTTAAACACTTACAGAGATGCCACACTATGTTCTAATGATGGTCTTCTAGATGCAATACCATTACATTTGACCTTCCCTATGACAAGCTCATTTTCAGAAGACATGCCCAGAGCCATTACTTTTAGCAAGCACGCCTTCCCCATTGCTGAGAGTGATGTGTTTGTAATGGAAATAACCAGGGAAGAGCAATCACGGTTGGAATTAGGGAAAGGAAAGATTAAGATTGGCCAGCTTCAAAGATGACACACCTCTGATGCTTTCAAACAGGGTGGGGCTACAAGCTTACCCAGATGGAGAGGCAGGAACTGCGGTGAGCCAGGCAAGGAAGGCAACTGCTCCCAAGAAAGGCTTCCTGTAGAGATGGGGGCCATGGCTTTACCCACTACAGCTCAGCCAATCAAAAGTAAACAATGATTTGTACGGCGACTTTTAGGTCCAGTGTCCCTGGAGAGATTGAATCAGCGGAAAGCCTCGGAGTGTAACTCCTTGGAAGTGTTGGTAGAAAGGGAAAAGGTCACCGAGATCAGAATACTCACCGTGATTTGTGGATTCCCGGCCTGGAGTGGAGCAACCCGTCCAACTCTCACTGCGAGCAAAACACTGGACAGTCACGGCCACCCAGAGAACTCTCCAAAGAATGGCTGGTGCCCAACTTCCCCCCACGCAGCCAGTGAAAGCCCCATGAAGCACAGGTCTACCCTCAGACATGCGGGGTCCCCTTCAACTGGAGTCAAGTTGAGGACAGCTGGTTCGGATGTTGTCGGTCTGAGCTCCTTCTCTCGGTGGTTGCTGCTTCTATCAATGTGACACGCTCTGCTTTTGGAGACGATTAACCAGGGTCCCCCTGAGCTCCCAAAGTGAAACATCGAACCATTGTAAGTGTTTACCCTTCCTATGCTATCCTTCTGCGTGGGATATCATCAGGACCTTCCAACACTGGAAATGCGCTATGTGATGTAAAGACAATGAATGCTGCTGAACGTGATTCAAAAAACAAAACAAAAACAAAGAAAGAAAACAGAGCAGGAAAACAATGCACTCACAAAATTCTGTAACCAGATATGAGAGAAAACGACGAATCCACCCATAACAGTATGTTTCTTTCTCTGTAGGATGGATGTGATTTGGTCTGTTTCTTCTGCATAATAAACTCATGTGTTCATTAATGGGATTTTTATATTTGCTCAGTTTTACCAACAGCTGAACTACCTTGGAAGAGTGGAATGAATTCGACAGCAAAAACCAAATGCCAGTGGTAGGTCACCGTGAGATTCAGTATTGTACTCAGCCAACCTATACTCACAACTTGATCTACATGTAACTGCTCAAGATCAGTGACAGGAGATCAGAATCAAAGAGAAACTCCCTATCTGGAGCTAGGAAACTGTGAAAGACGTCTCACGGGGGTTGCTAACCACCTTAAGCATCTGCAGAGCCCTCACCCCATAAATGATCATTATTAGGATGTCACTTCTTCCTGTAATGTTGCAGTTTGTGATACAGGGAGTCAGTAACGCATTGCAGGGCAGTCAGAAATAATGCCTGGTCGGAGTCCTTCAGAGAACCAAAAGGGAAACAAAGAGGGCTTAAAAAGTCAATGGAAAACCTCTGCTATTTTAAAATTCCATTTTACCATGCGCTTTCTGAAGCCCCTTCGTACAGTATGAGATGAAAAGAGCAAATCACTTAAGTTCCCTTTGGGAAGCATCTAGCTACTAGCGATGCTTACTTTTATTTGGGTTGATTGGTTGATATAATACCCTGCATCATAAGAAGCAGAGTGACATTCAACTACTCGGGGGCTCATGTTCTAGGCTGTAGAAGGGATGGAGGTCTGACTGAACTAAACAACGGGCAAAAGAAAAACATGAGTGGGATGGAAGACTGTCTCAGCACTTCAGGATAGACCAATAGTCTGGCAATTCTTCTGTGCTCTTTCAGGACATTAAAATGAAGCATTGCATGACCAAAGGATTGTCATTTGTAGGATTTGAACACTGAGTGCGACTATTTCCTTTCTTCTGGATGAGGATACCAATTGTTATACCGCTTTGGCCTTTATTTCTTCAAAACATGGCAACCAAAAATGAAGCAGATGGTAATGAGAAGAGAGAAAACGTGCTGTATCACTAGTGGTTAAATCAGAAACAATTAGAAACTTTATTTGTCTGTGTCAATAACGTGTACCATTTATAAGGAACAGCACAATTAGTGCACTTTCCCCCCTAAAGCTGTGCACAATACACACAAAATGAAATAATCAAACAAACAAAATGAAATTATTTTACACAACTATGATAATTAACAACAACCCTGGAACAACCAGCATCGGCTTTTTCCCTATAGCATGAGAATTTAAAAACAAACCCCAAAAGCTTTGAAATCGAAATTGACCCACAGCAAGAATTTCTAAAAGTCCTTTGTGAAAATTCCCTACGGGGGTGACTGCCATTCAGCTGTGACAAAAGAGGAGTGCAAAACCCGTCTAATATTTAAACGATTTAGGTTGACTTGGTGTTTCTAGGTTAGCTTTCTACTAGGTAAATCTCAAAACAACAAACAAACAAACAAAAACCACTACCAACAAATAAAGAAAATAAAAGCACTGCCCCCCAACAAGAATGGACTAGAAAGGAGAGAGGCCATCAGTGCAGGTCAGGCAGAGATGTGGAGCAGAGGTAAGGTTGGGCGGGGTTGGGGGTAGAAAGGTGCTGTTACCAGACAAAGATAAAGACTGGGACCCAGTGAGTCTTCTCACTGATCTTGATTACCCACTTTGTTGCCAAGGATAAGTTTGGTTCTGTTCTAAATCTACATTTTATATTTTTGGACAATGGAATTCATACAAAAAGTATGAATTTGGTTTCCCTTGCAAGATGAAGTTGTTTCCGTAGGTCGTGTTCACTTTTACTTATGGAAATTAGCAGTCACATTAATTGCAATCTCCTTGAGGACGGGTATGGGGAGGGCTGTCTGGTTTCTGGTTAAATACCTAGGAGGGAACACAGTTCCTGGCATATTGCATGGGTAATGCACATTTCATTTAAGAGTTTTGATTTAATTTATGCTTTCAGATGTCAAATGTTTACTCATTAAAGATTCTGGGAACTTGGAGAAAGAAGATAAGTTCCAACAGTTTTATTTCTTAAGTGTCTTTAAAACATAGGACCCAGAAAGTGTGGCTTGGGGTTCCCTGTAGACAGAGAAGCTACTGAGAGAGAGGCGGTCACGGACATCCCATTTCACTTCATCGATGGGCTCACCACTTTGCAAGGCTTAGCTACACTCTTTGGTATTCTGAAATAAGAGCCATTCCTTGTCTATTGTTGGGTCAAAAAGAATCCTCCTGGTGCAATCCCCCTGGGAGACACTGATCTCCTCATCTAATTGCTACTCTTTAGTCATATGCAGAGGAGGCAGGCTCTGAGTGGCCCCTGGATCACCCTGACGTCTTCCGAGGGACAGTAGATACAATCAGAGGGGTCTGCACAGGGAAAGAAGCGGGGCTCAAAATGGCCGTTTACAGAACAAAGTAAAATGAACAAACCTGCACTCTCTACCCTCTGTGCCAGACAGAGCAGATGTGAAATAAATACACTGGGGCAGTGGTATCAATGAAATGGGCTGAGGGTGGGGGCAGTGGGCTTTCACAGCCCAGGCACATCTAACTCATCTACTGCCCTAGAGCGCCTTTCCTTGGCCTTCCTGAAACAGCCCGTGGCTGTGAGAGGCCTCAGATGTGTCCACATGGTTACTTTTCCATGAAGGGACTCTGGGGGCTTCCAGCTCTCCTCCCCATGACTCTAGCTCCCCATGTGACCGTTATTGCTTCTTAGAAATGAATGTGCAGCTCCACAAATAATATATAGAAGCCATTTTCTCTTCTTATCCCTAGTCATAATGAAACTCAAGAACAACACAAAACAACAACTCAGGTACAAAGAACACTCACTGATGGCTGCAATGGCCAACCAACGTGGTGGAAATGGGAGAACAGTCTACGCTCTACTCTACTATATACAGATACGCTTTGTTTTGTTTTTCATCCATGCACTGTGTAACAGGTATCACAACATTCCCAAACAGGCACAAGAAGGAGGAAGGAGCAAATGTTCGGTTGGGATTGGGACAGGGAGGTGCAGGCCATGGATGTGTTTCAAAAGAAAACTGACAGACAGTCCCGGGCAGCCACAATGTGGACCTGGGACACATAGGGATGCAAATGGATACAGGATGATAGTAGAGCTATTCTTCCTGTTGGTGGGATTGGAGAGGAGGAAGAGGGGGGTGGACATGGGGGATCGAAGCGGGGGTCTCCGGGCTGGGACACCAGAGTCAGAACCTTGCTAACCATTGTCCAGAGCTAAAAAGTTAAGAACTAAAGGACTTTGCATGTCCTAGGAATCTAAGCACGTGACCCCTGTACCTGTTGAACCAGAGTCCCAGGCATCATATCTTTCGCTATCAGACTATTTCCAGAAGCATCACTTTTCCGGGTTCTGTCGGACTCCTGTGCTGTTTTCTGAAGGCAGATTGACCTCTGTTCAAATTCAAGATATAAGCACAAAACTTGGTAATATAGTGAAGATAGGTTTCTTTCTTCTTCCATGCCCAGATACTTTCTGAACTCTGAACACAGTTTTTGAAAGTTGAGGGGAGGAGAGGGGAAACTTAATGATTAAGATTTTTTGTTTTTGTTTTTTTGTCAAAAACTCACCCACATTGGGATTTGTCTTCACCTGTTACAAAAAGAGGCAGAAACCCCGACCTGCCCCACAAAACAAAACAAAATAAAACACACCAAAAGCCAAAAATGTACCCCCTCTCCAACCCCACCAAGAAGAAAAGCAAAAACCAGAGGACAGGTCAAAGCCTGCACGTTTCATCCACCGAGAGAGAGTACACGCCTTCTAGGCCGAGCTGCAAAGACGGCTGTGCCTCCAAGCCTTGTTCGACAGGACGATGCCCCTGGGGTGGAAGGTGGTTTCTTACTTCGGCCATAGTACAGCGTATGCTCTTGAAGCTGGGTTCCACCAGCAGGTAAGTGAACATGACACATGTCAGTTTCCTCTGTTCATTATACATAAATCTTTATGTATATATATGTATATATATTTATATATATATATATAAATTTACTACATCTGATTGTTCCTTTAGAAGCCTTTTATGTGGCAGTAGGCCTCCAGGGAGGAGAAGAAAATGTACAAGAGCCACAGGAGCACAAAGAGGGAGGATGTGAGGAGCTTGGCAGTCCGGGGCCCACCCAGCTCACCTCCGATTTCTGGCCTCCGCCGATACAGCAGCACCCCCACATTGATGAAAGCAAAAATGGTGAAGAGAGTGACAGAGAAAGCTAGCGTGCCAGGGGACACTTTGAACTGTTCCCCGTTGGCTGCGTGGTAGATGGCAGCGATGGACCAGGCCACGCCGATTCCCAGGAAGACATTCACTGCGTTGCTGCCTGTGACGTTACCTATGGATGCATCCGCATACTGGTCCTGGGTGGCGGCCACTTTGCTGGCGAATGTGTCTGTAAAGGAAGCAGAAGGAGACAATGACACTTGGGGAACCGCACATGGTATCTCTGGAGGGTGGAAGGTTTCAGCCGTCTGCCCCAGAGGAATCCCCTAGTGAAACACAGTCGCCAAGCCTGGGGCTGGATCTAGATAGTGGGAATTCACAGGGAGGCACTGGCAGTGTTCTTGAGTCATTGGTCAAGTTTGTTCTTGGAAGATATCACAATTCTCACACACGACTGGGCAGTGTTTTGTTCTGTTGTCATTAGCATTACTGAGTTGGAACTGACTCAATAGCATTTAAGGACAGGAACACCACAGTTCTTTATGAAACCGACTTTCAGGGTAGCCTTATTCAAATGGTCATCACAGATCCTTTACATCAGAGTCATGTGGGGTCCTTCTTGTTGATGTTAATGACCAAGCCAACCACTGACTCATGGGGGACCCTGTGCACAGTGGAGCTAAATGCAATGTAGCAACATGGCAAGCCACCTCTGGCAGATATGCATGACGTTTATGGCCCAGGAATGAGTGTCATGCATGGGGGGGATACAATTCTGTCACTGACCTGGGGTGAGTGCTTCTTGTAAGTGGATATTACAAGGTCTGCCTAGTCTTTCTGCATTGTAATCATTGGGCCCCAGGAATCTGTATTCATGAAACTCCAAAAGATTCTTAGGCAACTGAACTCTGAGAGCAACGATTGGGGGTTATTAGTCAAAGCTGCTATATCACCAGCTCTAGTTATCATTGAGTTGTAAGAGTAGCTGATATTTGCCGAGAGCCTCACAACAGGAAAGCAAATCCTCCTGTATTGCCTTGTTTTAGTTTGACAACTCTATGAAGTGAAGGTTCTTTACAGGAGAAGAAGAAATTAGGTTTAGAGATGAGGAATACACTATTGAGTCATGAACACAACATTGCAAACTAGGAAACATGAAGAATACACTATGGAGCTATGAACACAACATTGTACAACGAGGAAAGAGCCATGTCATGGCTTGAGCCAGGTCTCCTGCTTACGAGACAAATGCTTGTTCATGGTGCCATCTCACTCTGCTCTGTGCCATGAGCACCAAGCACAACCCCTGAAGCTCTGTGTAAACTAACACTTCGGAATCTTTTGATGGACACAGGAAAAGTAAGGGTGGGTGAAAGTGACTTGCAATTCCAGTTGAGTACAACCCAGAGGTTCGGCAAGCATTCGATGATTGTGTTGTTAATCCTGCCTCCCTCACTGACTGTGAGTGCCTGGGAGGTTATGGGCCTTCTCGGTGCCTCAGTTCCCTAATTTGTAGCTACACCCTCGTCAGAGTGTGGTGGTCAACTAGGGTGTGGTAAATGATTGTCATACCTCCTGGGACAAAATTAAAGTTTCTCTTCTTATGGGTTTGGAAAGGCTATGTAAATAGAACAGGATGGGTTCATTTGAAGGTTTGGGTTGGAGCTGAAATCGCCTCCTGTTCTAAGCATGTCAATAGAACTTGCAAGATAATCAATTTGTTTTACAGATGTTCTTTGATTCTTTATTGGATGAAGGTTTAAAGAACCTATCATCAGTTTGCCATGCAACAATCCATGCTCACTTTCTATGGTTTCCCACTTGATGACATCAAGGGCCTCCCAGCTAACCTTGCAAGATGTTTTGCGCAGTAAATTCATAATAGGTGCTAATTACTGTCAAATGAAACTCACATTTGCAAAGCCGGGCGTGACAGGAGTTAAAATACTACCTGGTATTATGTCACCTGCTTCAAGCACTCTGAAGTGCCTAGCATGTTCTGAGCCATCTGCTTCTATGACATCTGAACCAGTGTCTCCCCATTTGTTGCTGCCACCCTTCCTTTGTGATTGCCAATGACGACGAGACAGAAGCATGTCCGCTTGCTCCAGCTATGGATTAGCATGCTTTGAAATGGCCAAGGAGGTGATATGGGGTTGTGGGAGGCTATTGCATCTGCAAGATCCCATTCATTTGAAAAGGAAGTTGATCTGTTCTCAGGCCCCCTTTGCTGATGGGACCTCTTCTAATATATCAAGTAAGGCAAACGTGGATGACTCCATGCCAGGCAATGCGTTACTGACATGTTCTACCTCAATCCTCTTACCAGCCTATTCTTACCCCTCTTTCCCATTTGGGGAGCTGACATGGTGAAGATATGACACCTCTTGGGCAGGGTCTTGGCCAGCAGACAAGAAGTCTTTACAATTAAATCGTGTTTGATTCAGAGATCCGTTTACACGACACCAGATTCCAAGGAGGCCAAAGTGTTTTCCTTTCCTCTTACTTCTCCTCAAGCTACTCCGTTCCTTGGTCGTGGCAACTTTGAAAGAGATTCTCACAGAAGCTCTTTTTCACTAGCAGTGAGAGAAAAGACTGAAGAAAGTATTGATCAGGTCTTTTTTTCAGAGCGGCCTCTGGGTGAACTCAAATCACCCACCTTCTGGTTAGCAATCAAATGCCTAAACTGTTTGCCCTGCCCACGGGCTTCAAAGAAGGCACAGGTAGTTTGTGGAAGCATCCTTTCTTTGTGCAATTGAGGCAGACTGGCCCCTGTGACGCATGTGGACCACGAAAGGACCTGCCTCCTTTCCCTTCCCATCTCGGAAATCCTCGCTGCCCTTCCCATCTCGGAAATCCTCGCTGGGGACTGATTTTAAAAAGTCCTCTTATGTTCCCGGGATCAGAACATTGCAATGAATAATCCTGTTCCTTTTGATGTGGTAAGCAGGATCTTACAATTCTTATTTTACTAACCAGGATATTATAATCCATCCTGTGCTCTGCAACACTCACTCACTCACGTTAAAGGACGGTGGCATTCTTTCTGTTCTCTGCATGTGTCCTACCTGCTTGCTCTATAGGAAAGTTTCTGATAATGGGTGTTTGCCCACACAAGCTGACTAGTTCCTCCGCTCAGGAATGCAATCTAAAGAATCACTTTCCGGTTCGAGCAGACCAATTATATCTGAATAAAGACTCTTCTAAATGATCAAGACATGATAGTGACTATTATCTATTTGAACCCGCAACACAATCTTCGTCACATGTGACAGCCTTACCAGGACTCTCACAGAGCCTGGTGATTAGAAGCCAAACAAGACAAATCCTAATGATCTACTGTATTTCTGTATTTCACTCTGCAGAGTTAGGAGGAGTTGCCGTAGCAGCAGCCAAAGGGAAAAAGATCATTTTTGCCGCCCCCCCCCCTCCCCCCCCAAGTACTTGAAACTAAGCAAGGAAGCAAAAGTATGAAAGCCAATACAGGAGAAATCCATGTCAAGCCCAGCTGCCACAGAGGAACACCTGAGATGTTATTCTGAGATGAAATGGCTGCGGGCACCAGTTGGCGGTGAACAGATGGGGCAGTGCTGGGAGGTGGGGTGTTCCCTCCAGCCCAAGGCTTCACACCAATTCTTCCTGGTCAGCCCTGGCTGTAATGGAATGCACCTGAATTTGTAAAATGTGAATGAATCAGAATGATAACCAAAATAAGAAAATGTGTGTGTTGAGGCATTGTTAGAAACATAACCCATCTCTTAGAAAACATACTGCACAGCAACGAAATCTCTTGGACAACAGAGTGGGAACAGTGGTGCCCGACTCCCGGATCGTGGCCGACCGCTCTGTTTTCACAGGGGCATACTCCACAGTCCTGGCAATCATCCAGTCTTCTGGACCAAGCTTTGAAAGGGCTCACGGTATCTTCTGAAGCTCCCATTCGAGGGCTTCCACATCTACTTTTTCCTGTTCTGGCTCTCATTCCCCTGCATCTGAAATTTACATATTCAAGCCTCCTACAATTTGCTGTATTGGCTAGGACTGAACCAGTTCTAATTAGTTCAAAGCCTTGCCTGTGCTGCCGACTAGTTGGCACTAGTCCACAGCACACTCCTGCTTACCTGCCCAGGCATGTGATCAATGGCACTCTTGAATGCTTCCTATCAGAAAACCCTGACATTCCAGATGGCACCTCTGTTGTTGCCCGTGAAGGGAAGGAGATAGAAAGTCAAACACTCCTGGCTTCAGGAGACCCCAGACACTCAAACTAGTCCCTTTGTCCTGAATCCAGGCCACACCTGGTCAATGGCCATTTCTTCTCCCCCAAAGTCATTTGAGAAAGATGAAACTTTTTTTTTCCCCCCCGTAGAGTTCCAGTTCCAGAAACTCAGAAGAGCAGCTCGACCTTGTCCTCCGGGGTCGCTGTGAGTTAGGAATGAGTCCATGGTGGTGAGTTCTGGTTTGGAAGCACTTTCAAGAATCTTTTTTATTTTTAATCATTTTATTAGGGGCTCTTACAACTCTTAGAACAATCCATACATCCCTTGTGTCAAGCACATTTGTACAATAATCTTTTAATGTGACTGTGACGTGGCAACCCTGATTTAGTGTAGTCATTCTTATGTTCAGATGCTTTTCGTTGGTGTCCCTAAACATTCGTAAACCACATGACCAGCTTGTTTTGGGTCTTCTTGAGCTGTTGGTTGGAATTCTGTGGTCTGTGCCTAAGGCCTTTTGCCTGTTTCCAATGCAAGAACTACATTAAACAGGAAAGCGGAAACACACGCAAATCAAACCATTATCTTAACACTAACAGAGATGACTGCTTTCCACATAAAGTGCGCGGAATTCTCCCCGAAGTCTCTTCTAACACTGCTGAGCTACCCATCACTTGTGTGTGCTGTGCCAGGCACTGCCAAGGCCTCTCCGGCAGCACTAAACAGCATCCTTACTACTGTTCAACAAGGCAAATGCCAATTAAGGGCCATCCATCCAAGTGAAATCAAGACAATAACTACTGCCTTGGCCTCATGGGAGTGCCATGGTATTCAGAGCTTGGTTCATGAAATACAAACACAGAGAAATCAGATTTCCAATGGGACTGGAATGCTTGAAGGCATGTTCACAATAATAGCGTGTGACCCTTGAGCAGTCAGTGCAGGGGCTGGGGATGTGGATCTCTCGCACAAACAAAAATTCCTTTATAATTAAAGTTGACCTTTGAGCAGC